GGGCCTCCTCCAATGCAACAGGTCCGAAAGTGAATTCTCTGCCTCGACCCCCACCCCCACCCCATTGTTCCACCCCAAGCCCGTGTTCTGCCCCTGGGATGGCCATCCCACTAAATACCATGTCTATTGCCAAACCAGAAATATGAAAGTGGCCCTCATCATTTCTTCTTCCTTCCTCCACACATCCTGTCACCGGTTACTCTCCTACTTCCCAAATCTGCCTACCTCTCACCAGCCTGTGGCCACCACTGCCTTTCACATGAAACAGTACCTGAAGCTTCTGTGCTTTGAAACTTTCTCTCCCAAGTCACCCTACAGAGACAAGTGCTGTGTTATTAATACCCTCCCATCCCTTCCCCTACACCCTCTCAAATTAAGCCTCTCAATGACCTGGCTGCCTGTCTCCACCACCCACCTCCAGTGTCCATGCAGGCCGAATCACAAGCAGCCCCCTCCTGACTCTTTCTACCTCTAAGCCTTTCCATCTGCCCAGAAGACCCTTCCCAGTCCCTCTCCCTATTTACTCCACAGGAATATCACTCTCTTTAGGAAGCCTCCTCTGTCCCTAAAGCTGGTGTGATCCTCTGTCCCTAAAGCTGGTGTGAGTGTTCCTTTGCTCTCGAAGAACACAAAATGCTTCTGCAGATGGCCTAACTCATCCCTGTCTGGTAATAAGAGTTTTTTTCTGGTCTCATCCTCATCTCAGTTATGAGCTATATGCTTACTGCATCACCACCAGCACAGCACTTGGCCAGAACACCACTATCTAGAACACATTTGCTGTGGGAAACTGGCTGTACAGATGAGTGCTCTCAGACTCCAGCTCTCTAGTCACTAGCTGTGTGGCCTAGAGAAAGGCATGCCATTCTTTCTGCCTCACCTTACTAAGATTTTCAGATCAAACTGAGGTGGCATATGGAAAGCTTTCTATAAAGGGCTAGAAAAAAATCTTAAAAAGGAATAGTGCTATGAATCTCCCATCTCCAAGCCAGAGTAACCCAGGAGAAAATGGTCCTAACTTAACAACAGGGCCACAGAAATCACTGAAGAGGATCAAAGAAATGCTGGACCAGAGAGACAGAGTTTAACTAATTGATTGATAGACTGTCAGTATCCCTTCCTTGACCCTGCAGCACTACAGTGTTAAAAAATGTTTCTCTTCCCGAAGCTCATCCAAAGCAAGGCTTTATCAAACAAGCAGAGGCATTTACCTAGAATCTATCTACAGGGACTATGGGAGATCCTGGAGGCTCCTGAAGTCAAATGTGCAATGCTGCCTTATGTTCTTTTGGAAAAGAGTAAACAACTATCTTCAGATTTCCAAAAAGGGCTGTGCCTCCAAAATCTGCAGAAACCACAGCTGCATGGTGGCTGGCTGGCACAGAGCAGGTGCACCACAGTGATCTCAGGGAGGCACCAACACAAACACAGCAACTACTCTCACTGGCCCAATTTCCTAACTTCCCCACAAAGGACACTTCAGGCCCCCTTATTAAGATTCAGTATGATATTTCATTTCAAGGGAATATACAGGCTGGGTTTTTTTTTGTTGTTGTTATTGTTTTGTTTTTGGTCAGACGTGGGTTTTGAACTCTGGGCCTGAGCACTATCCCTGAGCTCTTCAGCTCTAGGTGAACACTCTATCACTTGACCCACAGCTCCATTTCCAGTTTTCTGGTGGTTAATTGGAGATAAGAGTCTCACAGGCTTTCCTGCCTGGGCTGGCTTTGAACTGTCATCCTCAGATCTCAGCCTCCTGAGTAGCTAGGATTACAGGCATGAGCCACCAGCACCCAGCTGGTTTTTTTCTACTAATGACAAAAATTTCAATTTCCTTTTTGGCCTGTACCAAGGGCATACCTCATTAGTAGTTCGTAGTTCATAATTACAACAATAATCAATAAACTATCTAACTATCTGCAGTTTTCCCATGAAACACCCACCCTTCATCTGAACTATGTTAAATGGCTACAACATATCACAGTACTCAGATGTATCCTTACTTAGATTTTTCACTCAATTATTTCACATTATTTCACACTGAGTCATTTACTCTGTGAGATCAACCTCTCCTAATACACCTAACTGCCACAGTAGTCAACAGTAATACATGGAGTCAGTCTATTTTGTATACCAATTATTAGTTGCCCTTCCATACCTGACTTCAGGTCCCCAGCTCCCTCATACCTCAAGGCACTGTCTTGAGGGCACTCCCAAGTATACAAGCTCTTCTTTAACTTGACTCCAGACCAAGGACCCATGTGGTCCTGGAATGACCAGATGATGAGAGGGAAAACACACTGAGTATCTCCCAGTGAAAAGGTCAGTAGGGAACAACTCTGGGGCCTGTTTACAGGCTAATACTATTGGAGAGATGTATTTATTAATGATCTGGAAGTGAAAATGACAGCAAGATGGCTAAATTTAATGATGGCACTATTTACTTTGGATAGTAAAACCATAAAGGATTTTAGAAAGCTCCAGATGGTACTCGAACAAGTTGAGAGAGTCAATAGCAGATGAGATTCAATTTGGCTACTCTGAAGGTAATGTACATTGGCAGCAGGCGTTCAAATTTATATGCAGCAATTGATCTAAAACCTATGGGGTCCTCTTAGTTTTAGAGTCCTCACCAACATTTGCCAGGGTGGTGTCCTCACTGATCTTCGACCTGACTTATAGGATGTAGTAATTCTGCTATCTTTCTAAAGCAGAAATTTAAACTCCTTACTTAAAACGACCAATTAAATAAAATGGGATCATCAGGCCAGGCAGACAGTAAGCCAAATGGGAAATTCCCTTATGAAAAGACTACCCTGAACCATCCACAGAGATGGAGCTGTACTGGGAGCAGAGCCACCCACATCAATGAAAAAATAGTGGTGACTCAAAATTCCTGCTGCAGCAGTCTCCAGAGGTTTCTGATGCCACTGAGGTTGGGGTCTGCTGATATTTTTCCTGTTTCCAAAAACTGCATGGTAAATCCATTGTTGATGCAAATTTGAGTAGCTTTCCCCTCTTTGATATCAAACATGGCCTCAAGATATTTTAACAACAGTAGCTACATAAGACACTACATTTTTTTTTTATCGTTCCAAAGCATTAAAATGTTCCAAACAACTGGTGGGTGCTGGTGGCTCCTGCCTGTAATCCAAGCTACTTGGGAGACTGAGATCAAAGGATTGTGGTTCAAAGCCGGCCTGGGCAGGAAAGTCTGTGAGATTCTTATCTTTAATCACCAAAAAGCCAGAAGTGGGGCTGTGGCTCAAGTAACAGACTGTTAGCCTTAAGTGAAAAAGATAAAGGACAGGGCCCAGACCCTTAGTTCAAATCCCAATCTAGCATCAAAAAAAAAAAAAAAAGAAAGACTAAGACTGTTTGTTAGCCAAGACCCAGGGTTGTTAAATATTCAATTTCTAAATAGGTAACAATCTGAAGTAAAACTAGGTTAAGTTTTTTTTAACTGTAGAGGCCTATAGTGTATTTTTCACTATATAAGCTCAGGTACACTGTCATTTTAGTGAAAAGCATTGTCTTTTATAATTAAATAAAAAAGCAGGTAGCCTATAAACCTACCTATTTGAAGTGAAGACTGGAAGATTGCCCTTTAAGGCCATCTAAGGCCAAACAAAAATTTAATGAGACCTCATCTTACAGAACAAGCTAGGTGCGGTGGTACACATCTGTAATCTCAGCTACCGGGGAAGAGGTGGTAGGAAGATCAGAAGCTGACTTGGACAAATGTGAGATCTATCAGAAAAAATAAACCAAAGTAAAAAAGGACTGAGGGTATGGCTCAAGTGACAGTGACTGCCTAGCATACACAGGCCTTGAGTTCAAACCTCAGTATTGAAAAAAATAAAATAGGCAGGAATGGATTAGGAGCCTGGAGTAGGCCTTCCCATTGATTAGCCATGTGACTTTCAACTCATTTATTAATCCAGTTCTTTTGGGCTTAATGTAAAATGAAAGAGGTAGGCAAGAGCTTTAAGGTTCTCTTCCAACTGGAATAACTGATTTTTAGAAGCTATCTCCAAGTTATGCATGCTAGGATAAAGCTAATCACAGCCCAATTTACAGGGTGTTCCAGAGGTCAGAAAGTACTTTTCCCTCATGGTGCCCAATGTCTAACAAGGTACACTATGGTCAAGTATACCAAGGGGAATACCTACAGTCCATTAAAACACAAGGCCCTTGCAATAATGAGAAGCATTACAGTAAAACCCATCCCATACTCTTTTGGAAATGTGGAAAGATAGTACAAAGGGAGAGAAAGAGGAAAATGAAAACGATTATTCTTCTTGATACCATGCTCCACTCATACAAGCCTCTCAGTATCAAGAGAATCAGGTATAAGAAATCCTCTACTAGACAAAGGGAACAAATATGAGTCCACTTACAAAAGCACAATATAGCTGAGCGCTGGTGGCTCATAACTGTAATCCTAGCTATCCTGATGGCTGAGATCTTAGAATAGTGGTTCAAAGTCAGTATGGGCAGGAAAGTCCTTAAGAAAGTGAAGCTGTGGCTCAATTGGTAACAAAAAGCTGGGATAGGTTGAATTCAGGTACCAATACTTGCACAATATACAACTAAGTTCCTCAATGAAAGATCATCACTAATATAACCCTTCCTACAAATGAACCTCAACAATCCTACCACACAACAAATAGAAAAGATGGAAGGAGAAAAGCAGCATACTATCGTTGATCTTTCTAGAAAACGAAAGCAGAAACAAGCACGCACACATATGTGCGTGCGCGCGCACACACACGAACATTTTCAACTATATTGAGGGAATATTCAACAAGGTTCTTTAAATAATTGGCAATGATCAGGTATTTAGTTTTCAGAATATGTAGGTTGTGTGTTATTTTTTTCCTAATAAAGCATTTCAAATTCTAATTAAAAAATACTTTATGGAGGAATTAAAAAGATGCAATAGTGTCAGAGGAAAAGCCATGATCCCAGAAGTGGAATAGTCTTACAACATAACTTACCAGAAAGTACCCTATAAAAACAGATTGTTGATTAACACAAACTCATAACAAAACACAGAGAGCTATCACAATGGTGCTGTAATAACACTTGGCTGCTGAATTCCTTCAATACATTAAATATCTCCTTGGAGACCAAATTGCTTTACATTTTCTTAAAAGACAATTTATTATAGCTTTGTTTTCTTCTCATTATCTCTTAAAAATATATTGAATGAAGAAAAGAACACAACTTCTAAATAACTTACATAAAATGGTACTAATGTGTGACAACAGACTTTGGTTTAATATGTTGGTTATTATTTAAAACAGCACACAACAGTCTTGAAAATCCTTACCATAATATGATATTCTCTGTGTCACATGTATCAAAAACTACTGAATCCCATTATTATAGCACTCATAAAATTAACACCCTCAGGCTGCTAGACATTTAAATAATTGATAAGTTTTCAATTAAAAAGGCAACATTTTCAAGCCTAATACAAAAATCTGTTTAAATTACTGATAAAAACTTACACTTATGTTGGCTAAAAGCCAGCAGAAAATGCTTGCATACATGGAGAGAAGAATTCTGTTTCAACTCAGATGTTGCATTTTTTAATTCCTATAAAGCCTTATCTGAGGTTTAGTTCTTAACTAAATCAATGAAAAGAATTATCAAAGGACTAATGGTAAAAATACTTGTACTTTGGCTTGCCCCTATAAAGCTTTTTAAAAACTTACAGAGTGACTTCAAATATATTGAATTTCTCATGAAAATCTAAGCTATTTTATCTTGTTTTTATGATAAAAATGTGGCCCTCCATCAGTATCTTCCCTCAGTTATTATATCAAATCCTGGAATCAAAACTTTTTCAGCGTCAAATAAACCTAACGAAATAAAGACCAATGTAAATGAGTAATAGGCTGCCAGTCGTGAGGTCTATCAACCAAAAATCGATTGCAAAATTAGATATAGTGGTTCTCTATGACAGAACTAGCCCCCAAAAGGATTTCCAGCTATAGAAATCAAAGACAAAATCAAGTGACAGCTGACCAATCTTGCCTGTGCTCTTTATAAACTGCTCCTTACTTTTTAAATGACTGAGAGCCTACTAAACAAAAGGTATGTGATGGCATACAATGAGAAAGGAAAAAAGGAAATCTATTTAAATTGTAAATGACTTTAAAATACCTTTTCTCTCAGAGATAGTTTCATTTGCACTCCAAATCTGGCCAAAAATACTCAGTATCAAAAAAGCACAGCTCTACCTTAAGTAAGTTAAAATTTGAGGACAGGGAAATTGGGTTCCCACCTATAAATTTTGATGGTGAATTAATGAGAAAATAAAACTGTACCCCATTAGCCAATCCAGTGTCAATCCACTAAAAAAAAAAGTCTTAATCCATCCACAGCAAAGTAAGAAAATGTAATAATGTCATGGGTTTTATATAAAACTAATACTTTAACGAAATGGGTATCATTGTTTTGAGATTATGCTCTGCCTACTATTTAACTTTTTTGATTACTATCACTATTTTTCTTTGTTACTAAATACAGGTAATAAGCACTTTATTAATTTATTTATTTTCTCAATTTGTCTACATGACAAAATTAAAAGTTGCCCCACTTATGTCTATCCTGAAATCTAAAAATGAAAAACTGATTCACACATGAAATCTAAATTTGATTGCATGAGCCAGATGATTATCTTTTTAGATGAAAATCACCTCTTAAGAAATCTTGGGGGGCTGGGAAGGTGGCTCAGTGGTAGAGTGCTTGTCTTGCATTAATGAGGCTCTGGGTTCCATTCCTCAGCACCACATAAACAAAAGAAAAAAGCCAGAAGTGGTGCTGTGGCTCAAGTGGTAGAGCACTAGCCTTGAGCTGAAGAGCTGAGGGACAGCGCCCAGGCCGAGAGTTCAGGCCCCAAAAAGAAAAAAGAAAAAAGAAATCTTGGGACCTTTTACATGTGGTATAATGTTATATAATGTCTAATATTTTTCTACAACAAAACTAAATACTGTACTTGAAAAAGCCAAAATTGTAAGGAATACATATTACAGGTATCATAACTATTATATGAATGCAAGTCATTTCAAATTTAATTATGGTAATACCAAAAAAGTTTGCAGTTAGGAATTTGCAGAGGTGGATGAGAAAGATATGAATAGAGATAGTGAAAAAACACAGGCTTTCATTGGGCTAACAGTAAGGATAGAAGAACATAAATTCTGTATTTTCAAACCTGCTCTAGCACTGGGTATGTCACATCTCTTAACCATGCCTTCTTCATTTAAAAAAATTAATAAAAATAGGGCTGGAAAGGTGGCTCAGTGGTAGAGCTCTTGCCTTGCATGCATGAGGCCCTGGGTTCAATTCCTCAGTACCACATAAGCAGAAAAAGCCAGAAGTGGTGCTGTGGCTCAAGTGGTAGAGCACTA